ACAAAAAGTATCTAGGTCATAAATATTGTTTGAATATATCCAACTCGATACTTTTTCGTGTTATTTTAAAAGTTATAATATAAAATCAAATATCACATTACTTAAAAATAGTTGTGCAAAACAGAAACGTTAAAAACAAGCCTATATATGTAATTCCAGTATATCTGTAGTTTTCTTGAATTAAAAAGTTTGAGTTTAATCTTAAAGTTTACATGAACAATAACAATGCAGCCGAGTTAACCCAAATTATAATTTTGATCTAACTGTTAAGCGAAACTAAAACTTTCCCAATGTTACTAAATTATTTGAGGTTTAAAAATATTGTTAAAGAAAAAAAAATTATAATATATTATTTCCTAAATATTTTAAGATCTGCAGGAGCTTTTGTGAAAATGTTTGGCAAAGATTCATAACAAAATAACATATATATTTATAAAATTAATTTCATAAATTAATATATTTGACATAAAGCATTAAAAGGATTTTAGTTTAAATTTATAATATTTATAAAATATATTAGTTATATCATACACTGAAAGAAATATATACTAAAGTTAAATAAAAAAATAATTAGGGCAAATATATTTTATGTTTCATATTTGGACTACCACATACATTGCTAAAACAAATATATTCGTTTGGTTAGCAGCCTATTGCTGCCCTAGCAATATAAATGTGTTTCTAGCAATATTTTTTTGCTGTAATTCACTTATAGTTTACATTTTATAGTAAGGGTAAGTTTATTTTTATTTAGATCTAACATATCTTCTTTACAATAAATGTATTACAAAATTTAACATACATTCATAATAAACAGTAGTATAAATGTGTAAAGCACTAGTATAAAATTTTTAGTATAAATTTGTGTTTACTTTTAGCAACAAATTTCTTTCAGTGTATTATTATTATTATATTATTGGTTTAACAGAAATCAATTAAAAATCCTTTGATAACCTGTATTTATATTTGCCCATAAGGTGAATTAAATAATTAACAATTGCAAAGTTATTTCGTAAACGCTTCCATTTTGCAGTAAATATACAACTTTATATTAATCTATAGATATATTATACATTTATAGCAATATTTACACGTATTTAAACGATATACATATTAATTAAAATCCAATATGTGAGTATTGAAATATGTACACCGTTCCAAAAAAGGATTTAAACAAAATTTAAACTAAATTATTTAAAAAATAATTTTTAAATTATATAGTCGTTGTCAATGTTATTTAAATTAGGCGCCTTTAAAAATATTTTTATTGAGCTCTAGTATTATAATAGGCACGACAAAAACATAATATTAATAAAATGAAGCTTAGTTTTGATTAGATGTTATCACAAAATATTAATGGGCAATACAGAAATTTACCAAAAACAAAAATAAAATATTTTTATATTATATAAGGAAGTAATATTTTCTAAGAAATTTACAAATATAAAAAATATTTTGTTTTTTATAGCCGACCATTAATAATAGTAATAACCTAAGATCTAAAGAAATTAAATATATATTGCTTCTATGTTTTAATATAAAGAAGTTGTTTATACATTTTTAAATTAAATACCCTGTAAAAAACTAATAATCCTAAACAAAACAGGTTCCCTTTGTGAGTATTAAGGTTCTCGAGCAATATATATTTTATTTGAATTTAAATGTCAAAGGCTTTGTAAAAATATTTAAAATTTATATGATCCATTTTTATTATAATATAAAACCAGTCAGATCCTTATAAGCTATTTTATAATCAATTTTGATATCGTTTTACTTTAAAAGTTGTACAAATCAAAATCTTTAGAAAAACTTTACATTTCAAACTTTTGTTTTAAAAATTATATGCAAAATCGAATTAACACACAAACAAATTTTTTTAATAAATACAACATAATTGAAATTTATGATCAAAGCAAAAATAATTAATTATTGGTATACTTTTATAAGGGTTCGACCAATTACATTGCTAAAAAATCATCATACATTGATAATTATTTTATTTTTAAAAACCTTTGAATAAAATACATTTTAGTATTAAATGAAAATCAAGGGCGGGGTTTATACATATACATATTCAATACATTCTCTTGTGTCCTTAGGTAGTTTTTCACATTTTTATCACACTTTCAGTACATGTCTTATCTTTTATTTAAAATCACAAAAGTTTATAGACCCTTGCACCACTATTTACGAAGAAACGAATCAAAGAACACCTACTTAATTAACGATACACTTACGTAAAAATAAAATATATAATTGATAACAGCAAGAGTAGAATCATTGATGAATCCTGTTTACACGTTGAACTTTTCACTGAAACAAAAAATATTATATAAATATACCTATAAGTCTATTTTATTATTTAAAAAAATTGTATTGGTTATCGGATAGGTCTTTCTGCTTGTTCATTCTTATATGTATTATAATTGGTACTTATTTTATTTAAATTATTAGTGGTTTAAAATATTATTTATGAATAATATGGAATATTAAATTATATATTATAAAATTGTCTTCTTGATTTTAAATTCAATTTTTATGATAATAATAAATTTAAATAATCTGTAATTTAAGCTGTTTATTTTAAAGTAGGTACATATTATGTACTACATAAGTATCATTTAGAGACATATCATGCTTTTTTGTTTTAAAGTTTATTAATAATAGTATATTTTGTATCAAGTTGGATAAACTTCATTTTAGTAACAATTTAAATTAGGCAAGCTTGCGAGCGAGTGTTTAATTAAATGATTGTCTGGAAAAGTTTATAAATGTGTTTATTAGTATACTTTTTCTACGACAATAATTATTATTTGGAAATGATTTTAATTAAATATTTGTACATCTATACAAAAATAGAGTGACTTTTAAAATGAAAATCTGTATTACCGGCAAAAATTTCAATTTTTTTGTGCAAATCGAAATTTATCCTTAACCTTATCCTTAGTTAAAAATAGAGTGAAAACCGTTTAAATCCGATAGAGAAGCAGTTTTTCACAGTGATAGTAATGAGAATGTTTTATGGGCACTCCACGGTGGATTCTCCACCCAAATTTTTTAATTCTTTATAAACGGATATATCCATAAAATCCAGTTTGCTACTAATTAATACTTAATTTTTGTATTAAGCTTATAAGATAATACAATAATTTTTACATATAGTATTATTGTACATGAAGGGCCGTCGACACTCGACACAGCAAGACGTCTGGCAAAGCGACCTCTTAAAACATAAAAGCCTAAATAATCACCAAAAAATTACTAAAGTGCAAATAAAATATAGTGTAACATCTATTGTAAGTAGAGACTACCCTACGCTCAAGAAAGTGTAAAGAGATAAGTGTCAGCTACAGGGCGGTTTTACCAGCTGTCAATGGGACGCTTTTCACGAGACAAACAAAAGATGACAACCAAGGGAGGAAAGGGCTATCTGCAAAATTGAATAAGTAACCTTAAACACCTGCATGACCAAACACATAATTTGCAACATTGGACACGACAGTTACTTTAAAACTTTGCTTATTTTTTAAAATCTCAAAAATTTTTGATCTGCTTAGCTGAAAATAATGTGTGATTTATTATTTGTAAAACCAAAAACGTTACTTTTTTACTCCAAACATGTCCATAAGGCGATGTACTTTTTCTGCCATTTGGCATAACTTCATCGACATGAAGTTTTGCCCTTAAAAGTTCTGCTGAGTTACTGGGACACCTAGAGTTTTAAATTTTTTTTTTTAATTTCCAAGTCGACAAAAATCCCTAGAACTAGACCACTTGACCTAACCTAGATATCCACGTAAACAATATATTAAAAACCATTGTCGACTAAAGCTAAACCTATTGAACCCTTTTCCTCAAGTGACAACTTTGATGAGTGATGAGGAAGAACAATCGGACGAAAATGTTCCTGGCCCCAGTAGAAAGAATCTAAAAGTCGTGGACGAGAGTAAAGCCGGATAGCCGGATTTATAGTTCTAAAAAGTAGGAGTATCAGTCGCAATAAGCCAGTGTTGCCTATATAAATGCCATGTGAATGGCTGGAGTAGAAGCAACCAAGTTCGTTGGCGTAAGAGATGGCCAAGTTTAACTTTTCTTGCTGCTACTCCTACTCCAGCTAATCACATTGCAGACATTTATGCAGACATTTTATTATATTATTATATTGGCAACACTGGCTTACTGCTACTGCTACTCCTACTTTTTACTTTAAACTATAAATCTGGCTTAAATGGTCCAGAAATATAAAAACAGCTGAGTTCTGCTGGAAAACGTCACGTAAATACCCGTAATAAAGTGGCTTTTTAAAGGATATTATGGGAAAACTGCAAATGCAAATACAAATGTTTCGAGAACATCAACATTAATGAAAGAAAAATTATTTTTAAATAAATACAATTCAATTGGGGAAAAAGTTATGCAGTGCACTTATCTTTGTGGTTTAATTAGTTCCGTGGCAGTGATTTGTAAAAGACCTAGGATTGAGGCACATCCTCAAAGGAATGTTTCACACAAATATAAGGTTTACAATATATGAGCTAAAATAACTTTTATTTTAAAATGCAGTGATTTCAAATTTGAATTGGACAGGAATGCGTAGCTTTTGTGGAGATTCAAGGAATATCTATATTAATACATCTCTCACAGATAGACGCAGAAAACATAGACACCGACCAAATGCAATACTATTAGAAATAATCGATCAATTTGACGCTCACATTAAGAGTTTTTCGAAAAGTGCATCTCATTATAGCAAAACCAAAAATCATAAAAAAATACCTTTCATCAGAGTAAAACATTAAGAATTAAATTTATTTTACTTGCATAACGTATAATACGTATAATAATAATTATTGTAATAACAATTATTTAGTTTTAAGTTGTCAAAGATTATCTTTGGTTATAATAACGTTAGCAATTAAATGTTGCAAGGCGGCATAAGTCAATCAGACAATACAAATTTAAGTGCATATTTTATCATTCACCATTCAATGACAACAAAAATGACTGATGACGTGAAAATTGGCGAAGAAATTGTAGAAAAAAATAATGAATCTGCAGGCTCCATAAGTATAACCGTAAAAACTCAAAAAAAATCTGAAACTTTTCAAGTTACTGAAGATATGCAAATTTGTTCTTTCAAAGAAATTTTGGCAGGCAAATTTGAAGCCGATATCGAACAACTATGTCTAATTTTTGCTGGTAAGATAATGAAGGACAATGATACTTTAAAGAAACACAACCTAAAGGATGGCTTGACAGTACACTTAATTATAAAGGAAAAATCATCTGAAAATGAAAACAACACTGTACCTCCTAGGCCGTCCTATACTAATACGCCGTTTAACTTGCCGAATCCAGGAAATTTATCAAGCCCGGAATCTTTGGAAAACTTTATGGAACTGCAGCGGCAAATGGAAAGTGAATTATTATCAAATCCAAACTTAATGAATGAAATACTTAACCCCGAGTATATGCGCGCTATATTCGGCAGCAATCCACAATTACAGGAATTATTTGAGAGAAATCCTGAATTAAACCACATGATTAACAATCCAGAGATTTTAAGGCAAACTTTGGAAATATCCAGGAATCCTGCACTTCTGCAGGAAATGATGAGAAGCAACGACCGTGCGATGAGCAACTTGGAGAGCATACCTGGGGGCTTTAGTGCACTAGAAAGGATGTACAGGGAAATACAGGAACCCATGTTATCGGCCACAGACGGCATAGCGAGAAATCCTTTTAGCGGTTTGCAGGGAAACAACGATGCTTCTGAAAATCCGCAGCAAGGATCAGAAAACGTGGATCCTTTACCGAATCCTTGGGCGGGGTTGAGGGCATCTACAAGCGAAGAACGGGCTAATATAAGATCTCGTTTGGAAGCCAACGCTCCTGCTTTGCAGGAACAAATACGTACAATGATGCCGCAGCTATTACAAGCACTGCAAAATATTAACGCCAACAATCCAAATAATCCAAACACAAATACAAACAATGAAAATCCAACTCCAAATCCAAATCAAAATTCAAATCCAAATTCGACAAATTCGAATCCAAATTCCACGTTTGAGTCGGCGTTTTCTGAGTTTTTGTCGAGAATGTCCGCTCAAAATGAAAGCTTTGCGACCCCAGAGTTGTTATACGGAGTGCAACTGCAGCAATTGGAAATTATGGGCTTTACAAATAGAGAGGCCAATTTGGAGGCGCTCACTGCTTCATTCGGCGATATCAATGCGGCCATACAAAAACTAGTTGATAGTGATTAAAGTTTCTTTGTTATTGATACTTTTTTATATTTTTCATTAATATAATGGTTTGTGGACTTGAGGTTTTATTTTTTGTAATGCCAATTTTTGTATAAATTAAAATAAGTTACATACCTACTTAATTAAAATTACAATTGGGAAATACTGTTTTTCTACTCCTATTACGGAATTTGACCGTTCTAATATCACTTTTATCTATGGAATGACATATATTCCATAAAGTGTTACAGAATAAAATATTTTATCATTGGATGACAGAATAAACACTCGTGCACGAGACACCTGTTTTTAATATCTAACAAATTTTAGACCGATCCAACCTCACTTTCTTCCAATTAAATTATTTTTCTATGGTATTTTTTGGAAACACGTTTGGAATTGCATATTCTGCTCTCGTGAAACCGTCAAACTCGCCTTTGGCTCGTGTGATAAACTCTTCACTCGAGCGGAATATTCCAAACTTGTTACAGAATATACTATTACCTAATTATAATTAATTTATTAATGTATTGATTAAATCAATAATTATAATTAGTACCTATTATGAGTATAAGTATTATTTAATTTTTGTAATACCAATTTTTATATGGATTAAAATAAATAACATAATTAACATTACAATTAAGATAATGCTGTTAACCTAATAATAGTTAATTAATTAATGTATTGATTAAATCAATAATTATAATTAGTATTAGTATAATAATAAAGGGGATTGCTCTATATTCTTAATAAAAACGAAACAGACAATATAAATACCTACATTGGTTTAATTTTTAGGAAACATTTTGTGTACATTTTGTGTCTCACTAAGCACATTGATTGAAAAAACAGCTTTTCCATTCTTACATTTTTAAAGACCACCATGAAACGCCGTGTCTTGAATTTGGTAAACTGCTTCTTGGGTTTCTTCAATAAAAAACTACTAAAGCCTCGATTTATATTGCACATAAACAAATCTAAAATAGTATCAAGAACCTCGATGTTATTGAATGCATTAAAATTGAAGCAATCTAAATTGTTATTTGCTTAATTAATTACTTATAAACCAAAATAGGGAAACATTTTGCCTAAATTTTAAAGAATTTTTTGCGTTAAATGTATATATAGTATACATACTATAGTAACGTTATTAAATAAATTAAATTTAAATTTAATGCAATACCATTCTAAGTTAGAATTTCTAACATTCTAACAAATAAATATCAATATAAATATCAATAGATTTAGGAGCGATAACTTTTGTTGTTAATTTAAAAACAGTAAACGATTATAAACCACGTGCTAACTACCTATTGGTATTATAGGAACTGTTATTCAGAAATACGGATTACAAGATCCCATTGATTTAATGGCTCACCCATTCATGCTATGCTAGCGTTTTTTCTGTGTATGCTTCTTGTTACAAATAACTAAAATGGTTGCTTTTTACCTTCGTAATATTCTCGAACAATACTTTTCTTAATCGTTCGACTTCGTACACTTTCGATCGCGCGCTCTCAGTAATCAATCCGTGGCAGACGATAGAGGCGTACTAGATAAATTTTTAAGTAACGCGAAACACAGTATTGTTGCAAAATAAACACACAAAATAACCATAGGCGTCGCAACACCCGTTTTAGTTATTTTTTTTTAATAAATAGTAGGTATATTGTAGACCTAGGTGGTAAAGTGACATATTTTCAGGCGGAAGAAAAAAATGTAAAGGTGAGCTTTAGCGAGCCTAGATACTTCCTGAAGCCTAGAAAAATATATTTTTCTGAAACGAAAAACATTGCAAAACTGTTTTCTGCATTTTTAAAACAAATTGATTAGACAGTTATGCCAAAAAAATAATATTTTGGTCACGTACGCAAGTAAGTAAAATTAACAATATGTTTAATTTTGGTTTGTAGCAAAATTTGATAAAAAATTAAATTTGTTGCTTGTGCAAATGCGAGGCTTTATTTGTTTATTTATTAAATTACACTATTTTACAGTTATACAAAACCGTTTTAGAACTGGTACTGTACAAACCATATTAATTTCCTTATTTTTGTATTTAATATATATATATGTATATTATTATATTATATTATTATCATGTAAATTATAATTTAACAAAAAAAAACGAATCACCCTAATATACATATATAATAATAATTATATGTATATTAGGGTGATTCGTTTTTTTTTTTTGTTTTTTTTTCGGAACCAAGCTCAAAAGATATAAAAATGAGCCTGTGAAAAAATGAGCTCTTAATTTCAAAATTAAGATGCTCCGCATAGCACTTTTCGATTTTCCATAAGAATAACATAAGAAAAATTATTTTTATTTTTTTTTATTTTTGTAACTAACGAACGGGTAATTCCATTTATTAGCCACCAATGAGTGCACCTCGTATACTCTAATTTTATTTCTTTTTTAACTGTAAATAGACATGGACGCAAGAAGTGAAAAAAAATCCCTTTTAATTTTCTCCCCCTATCTCCTATTTATACAGGGCTACTCAAAAGTTACTATGCAGACCTAACTTTAAAAAATTGTACTTTTTTTTTGCTAATAAAGCTATCGACATTAAACAAACTGTTAATTGTTAAGAAAATTTTTCTCTTTTAAACCATATAGGACACATTTAGTTATTGATGCCCTAAATGGCCTTTGGGAATTTTTTAAAAAATGCAATTTTTTGTCAAAATTGTCTAATTTTATAAATTCATATATTCTTAGAACAACTTGCCAGCAAATTTTTTTTAATGTCGTTTGTTACCAAAGATCTTACTCTATATAAAAGCAATGAAAACATTTTCAAATAATATTGGCTAAGAGTTCAAAAAAATATAATAAAAATTCATGTTTTCGAAAAATCACTATTTTCAGCCATTTCATGGTTTAAAAAGGCTATGTTTGAGTGAGTCGATTTAAACCAATTTATGCTTATCATCACATGCACTTATTAGCCTCCAATAACCATTAATAAAATTATTGTGTATTTTGCTTTTAACTGGGCTTTGGCTGTATATGTAAAGCACAGCTATAAGCAAAATACACAACATGCCCACCTGAATTGTCTAATTTTATAAATTCATATATTCTTAGAACAACTTGCCAGCAAAATTTTTTTTAATGTCGTTTGTTACCAAAGATCTTACTCTATATAAAAGCAATAAAAACATTTTCAAATAATATTGGCCAAGAGTTCAAAAAAATATAATTAAAGTTCATGTTTTCAAAAAAATCACTATTTTCAGCCATTTCATGGTTTAAAAAGACTATGTTTGAGTGAGTCGATTTAAACCAATTTATGCTTATCATCACAGGCACTTATTAGTCTCCAATAATCATGAATAAAATTATTGTGTATTGTTCTTTTAGCTGGGCTGTGGATGTATATGTCCACCTGTGACTAAATCCATATATTAACCATATATTTCGAAAAAACGTATTACATATTTAAAATAACTCGACAGCCTTAAATTGACTTCTAATTTATTCTGAATAAAAATATAAAATATAAAAACCACATACAGTGGCGTCGAAAATTAACTACCCATTTATTTATTTTTTAAATTAAGAAAACATAATCAAATGTACAAAAAATTAATTAAATGACATAAAACATGTATTAAATCCTAAATTTGAATTAAACCTAACTGCATATAATTAAACTGAACAAATCATATTCTTAACTTTTACAATCACCTTAAAAACCTATTTACTATTTTTTAACTCTAAAAAGTTTGGACACTTTTAAATGACAGAAATTGGTATGTAAACTGTTTTTAGAAAATTATGCATAATTTAATAATTTTTTATTTTAGTTTTTGTTTATTTACAAAAGGTAAAAAATTAGTATGTTTAGAGTAAGTAGGTTAGTTTTTATGAATATGTAAAAATTTCAATATCTTAAAAATATTTTAATTATTAAAACAAAATGTTAAAAATGGTCTCTTGCGAATTAGAACTCAATTCAAGTCTTGCTACCTACCGAGTTTTTTTTTAAATATATATTTAATATAATATATAGGTATTTTTTTATAAAATATATACAGGGTGTTCCGAAATTGGTGCACCATACTTTAACAGCAGATTCTACGTGCAAAAATAAGAAAAAAGTCCCTATAAATATAGGTCGAGAAATGCCTCCTAAGGGAGCTACAGCCCCCGAAAAGGGAGCCCCTGAAGATGGTTTTTATCTAATATAAATAAAAAAGTAGAAACACCCTGTCACTTACTACATGAAACTGTCACCTGTCTTGAATTATTCTATTTTTTCCTAAACATGGCAGCCGTATTCCAAGGACCACGCGAGTCCATTTCTATGGTTGTGATTTAATTGTGAATTTTTATGCCATGTAAAATAATTTTCAAATCGATTTTATGCGAAAACGGTGTATGTTATCGAAGTTCAACAAGATGACCTTTTTTATGTGCAAAACTCTAAAATTTCATAATCTGACACCAAATTCCGGTACAAGATACTTACAAAAAAGTTAAGGTGGTTTTAACCCTACTTCCTATCAATCTGACCCAAACCTCATAAAAAATTTTAAATTGTTATTGTTACGTCTTATTGGTCATAAAAAGTTTAATTAATTCCCCAATTTTTACTTTTATATCTTTAACGGTTTTGGAGATATTAAATAAAAACCATCTTCAGGGGCTTTCCTTTTGGGGGCTGTAGCTCCCTTAAGAGGCATTTCTTGACCTATGTTTAAAGGGACTTTTTTTCTTATTTTTGCACGTACAATCTGCTGTTAAAGTATGGTGCACTAATTTTAGGACACCCTGTATTTAATATAATATTATGGATTTATATTAATATAATCCACATTATAATAATAAAATTAATAATATTATAATCCATATTATGGATTTAGTCAGGTGGGCATATTGTGTATTTTGCTTATAGCTGGGCTGTAGATGATACAGCCCCAGCCCAGTTAAAAGCAAAATACACAATAATTTTATTCATGGTTATTGGAGGCTAATAAGTGCATGTGATGATAAGCATAAATTGGTTTAAATCGACTCACTCAAACATAGCCTTTTTAAACCATGA